CGAGTTCAACTCCTCGGCCGCGTTGTGTAAATAGCCAACTGGTCAACCTCCCACCAGTTGGGATTCTTAATAGTTTATGTTATATTTGAAATATTTGTTGATTTATTTAGTGTCCCCAATTAGCACATTAGTGCTAAATACATCGACACTTAAATAAAGTGATTATTATTATTATATTATTATTATGTATATTATTAGAAGGATAACAAACACAATAGCCTCCAATTGACGCGGAAATATGTTCGTATATTCAGTGTTTTCAAAACAAGCCGGCGACCGCCGGAGTTCCGCCGCCTAATTGATTATATATCATCGGTTACTCTGGCTTCCGCAATCAGCTTGCGACAAACAAAGCTCACAATTTTCCTCGAGCAACGCTCTCGGGAAACTGTTCGCTTCTCCTCGGACAAATGTCCGAGCATATTTCCGCGCCAAATGGAGGCTATTGTTTATATATTCAATCAACGGACTGCTTGACACTTCGTAAATATATGAAGAGAAGGCTAGTATCTTGCAGACATCTGGAAAACGTTCCTGAAAATTTCAAAGATTTCGTAGTGGTGAACTGAACGTTTGCGAGCAATGTTAAGAAGTTCAAAGAGATTACTGAGGTCTCATCTGGTATCCGGTGTTTGTATTACGTTACCATAGTAACGTCCATGTTGAAAAATTTCGACCAAAAACTAGTCAAACCAATCTGTGAAGTCTTTGAGAATTCGTTACAATGAAATAATTTTTATCGCTATTATGTTTCTTTCTCATAATTATATTTTTCATCATGTAAGTCAGTATATTAATAATGCTGGTTTCATATTTTAGAAGCTTAAACTATACCTTCCCAATCTTTGCAAGCTCCCAACATTTCAGCATGTGTTTCTTAGTTAGAAATGCAGGATAGAAAAAAAAAAAAAACCTTTTGGGAAAATGCATTTATAGAATTTTTCTGTCCAATGGATCGAAATCAGACTAAATTTCTGATAGTTATGTTTCATCAAATACCTCTTTCGTATTATTTCTATATATAAAAATATATTTTGGGTCTTCGCGCGCGATCAAATAATGATAAAAAAAAAATGAATTATTTCTTTTCTCCGTATGAAAGTACTCCAGACTTAAGTAGTATGTTTTACTCATATTAATCACTTTTCCGGGGTTAGTTGGGTTTTGCTATGGACGAAATTGAACCCAAGACTGAAAAATCATAGCTGTGCAACAAATTCTACATTCCAACAAATGCGCGTCTCTCAGCATTGATTCCGTCCACTTGAACAACAAACACAAAAACTCTACAAACCGCGATTTCGTCTACTGGGCCAACGAGAAACAAAAACTCTACAAACTTATAAAATTACCTGGCTTGGTGCAATCTTCTTCTCGGCCTCCGAACAAGGATCGTTTTCTTCATGCTCAGGAATATTCACTGTGGAAAAAAATCGAAACGTCCTCAGTTAAATATCTAAAATCACAGCTTGGACTTCAGGTGAATTTTAAACGTAAAAAAAAAAATGGAAAATTGAGAATTTGAAAAAAAAAAATAGAAAAAAATTTACTTTACCTTCTTGGATAGCAGCCATAGCGTGTCACTCTCAATGCTGTTTAAATTTTTGTTTGTCGCAAATCAGTTGTCCAAATTTCAGCGCAAACGACCCGTTGTAAACCCAGTCTGATTCTGAGCCGCAAGTTTGCATTCATGACGTAACAATGGCCTACGAGCGCCTTATGAGGCAAAACGCGCGCTTGCACGCTCAGCTTTGTCACGCAATCTTGACAATTTTTTTCCAACAACGAAACAATCACGTTATTAAATTGTCAAGTAAAAATACCTTGAAACACCACTGGCTTGCTCGGAAATTCGCTTTTATTTCATAGGTTATAGTTTGATTCGAGCGATTCTGCTGCCACGATTAATCCAGCTTTTCATTGGGTAGTTTAACAGCAAAGTTCAGTCCTCATCTTTTTTCATAAGCTTTTTAATTATTCGTCTCGAAAGAATTTAATATTTTTATGATTTATGAATCCTTAGTTTCTGTATCCTGCTGCCCCTGTTTCTACCAATGTTGCGTCGTCTTGGTCGATATCGAAAGCAAGCTCCAAAAAAAAAAGTTTATTCCAATACAGTTGTTTTCGCTATGCCGAGAACGAGTTCGATCGATCGAACTGTACTGAAAGGAAAACGCTTAAAGCAAGAAACTAGCTGGTCTCGAGTATTGTACTCACCTTGTTATCTCATTATTGTGAAATTGTCTGAAAACATTGTTTTGGAAACGACCCTGCTGAGCTGGAAAAAAAAAACTGCAATGAACAATGAACCGACCGTTAGAGTGCCGGCATTTTGCCATTTTCGACAGTTTTACAACAGCATAAAAAAACATTCTGAGGCATTAATCGACTTTGTATGTTTCTAAACCTTAATTCTTGAATGAAACAAAACACTCTTATGAGGAAAATTTAAAACTAAGAGCAATCCAAATTATTTGAAGATAAGCCATAAAACAGGGCTTTAAAATTCTTTTCAAACTACTAGTCTTAACTTACCGCTGAAGTTTTACAAAAAGCACTTCTTCGGCACCACTTTGACTCTTTAGTCCTCTGTACTGTAGGAAAAAAATAGTTTCCTTTTTTTGGGTGAATCTCTTTATGCTTTGCAAAATTGCATATTTTTTCCATTCTCCCACTGAAAGAATTTATGGCAAAACCCGTTGGAAGTAAAAAACTGCTCAAAGAAAACTCAGCAAAAGGCGTGTGTCTCCCCAGTCTCCCTCCAAGCAGTCAATCTCTCCCCAGGCTCTTTTAGCTTTTAGCCAAAAACCTGCCCTAGGTTTCGTCGACTCTCGTTGGCATCTAGATATAGCATCGACTTCGGCAACTTTCGTTCATCCATTTGACTTCAAAACAGTCCCCTCCTCTGAAATACTTATTCGTTGTAGTATAAGTAAGAACGCGTATGTAAGGTAGGCGTCGGTTCCCTGCGAGCAGCAGCGTCAATGTAATCAATGATGGAAACTGAACATTTGTCTGGAACACCAAGTTCAGGATTAATAAAAAATTAAGCTAACATCATGTTAGAACAATTAAACAAGTCAAGCAAGTCTTTGATCTAAACATTTCGCACGCTAAAAGTTTTGAGCTAACAGGCATTTCTTCAAACAGTTATACGTAGTTTAGTTCGATTGGTATATTGATCGCCAATTATTTGCCTTCCTGCGGCAAATTGTCAGTACCTGTTTCCTCGCTGAGCACTGCATCAATATAAACACCGCTTTCAGCTTACTAGAACAAAAAGAAACAATTGACGATTTAAAAGCGCATATTTCCCGATTGTCAGAAAACGGAACTACTTTAGTGCAGTGCATTTACTGAACAGTAATACCATTAATTAACGAGGTAATGAAGTAATGAGGCGAGAATCAATTATAACTACATCTAACTTAAACATGACAGTTTCACCAAGTGTTTTCAATTTGGCGCATATAACCAGTACCTCCTTGCCCTTTTAATGTCATGATGAAAATACATTTAAAACTAGCGCATGATTGAAACTCCTGTTCTGCATTCCATCCGTAAATCTTTCCAGTTTGGAGATAAAATGCATCACATAAGTCATCATAATTGAATTTCAGAGTCTCAATATCAAGGCAAAGTAATTTTAATCACAATCAAACTTGGTTTCATACTGCCATACTGACGCTTCTCACTGAGGTTTCGATGCATTCTTTTCCATCAAGCATCTCAGTATACGTGAATGATTTATTTCAGATATCATGACCTAAATATTCACTATTACAAGGGTGTAGTAATTATAAACAGGGTCACCCAACGGACTGTTTCGGTAAATTATCCGTTCAGAAGGCCTCTAATCTGAGGCTCGATTTCGTAACGTGAATTCAGTGTCACCTCGAACTTTCGCGATATGAGAAACATCATGCCTGTTGTGTCCGGATTAATAAAAATGTCGTTTTGGGTAACGAAAATAGGTCAGTTGTGATTTTCGCAAAGGCAATAAGAACTAAGGTTTTCGGGAAATGGAGTGAAAAGCCCTAATAAATTCGAGAAGACTCACGTTCCCCTAGAATGACCAAAACAGATGAAAATTTTATAGCGCAGCTTAAAATTAACCTACAGAGCTTCAAAAACACTCCAGATAGCCTAAAACAACATTTGCCATCATTTGAAATCGCCATGTCCCTGGCCACTCGCAGTAAGCAGAGGTCGTAGATCAAATCAGCTCAGTAATCAATTCAATTCAATTCGATCCAATCTTATTTACAATTATTTTAGTTACATACATTTCACTCAATTACTAAAATTACAGAATAAGAAAGAAATAAAAAAATGCAAAATTACGTTAAATAAAAAAAACAAAGTGTACTGTGTACTGGCCATTGGAGCAAAAGCTTTCGAGTTGACCACTATCACAGTTGACTAAATTATAACTTAATTTAACTTAAGAAGAGTATCTATTGTTCCTGACTGAGTGACATCATTTTAGGTGTTTCCATCTAGAATTTTGTCTGTCTCCTTTACTGAATCATATATATGACAACTAGAAAAAGCACGGGAAATATAGTTCTATAGTTTTTAAGTTTAAAAGGAAGCTATTTAACATTTGCTTAAATTAACGCATCCAACAGTGGTAACATTTAGAGATTTTTGTATGCATGATTGACTTACAACTCTTGTCGTACAGCAGAATTCATCATTTATCTCGAGACAGTTTTCTTTTCTGAAACAGATCACCAGAAGTGTACATTTTCAAGATAAATAATGCTGAACTTCACGCCAAAGATATATCGATATGTGATAAGTCATACCAGAGTCGGTTTCTTTGGATAGTCACACACTCGGTGGAGGATTTTGTGCCCTAATTTCCAGGATTAAATGTAGGTTCTTAACTAATGAGAAAAGACATAGCAAAGATCACAGGCACAGATGTCGTCCATTCTATTTTCCTTTTTCTAAGCTCGTGGTTTGTGCTTTCTGGCGGGTTCTTCGGGTCTCATCGACAGAAGTAACGTCGGAAACTCCAGTACATCGACTCCATCTCAAGCAAAACATATCTCTAAAAACAGCCTTGTATTCTTGTCTGAATTGCTTGTGTGTTGCACCATATACGAAAGGGTTAATGGTGCTACTCATGTAAACTAAGAACCCGTATGTAAGGTAAGCCTGCCGCGCCAAAGTTGGCTCCCCGCGAGATGCGTCAATGTAGTCGATGATGCAAACTGGAAGCCAGCAGCATGCGAAGCAAACCATCACCGCGGCTAAAGTTTTGGTCACTTTTGCTTCTTCCACGTTAGCTCTGAGCTGCTGAGGATTGTTTTCGTAAGAGAAAACTCGATTGGATCGCGACACTGTGTAGAACACCTTAGAGTAGCAGAATGCGATGATTGATAAGGGGGTAGCGATGTAAACGCACTCAATAAAGATTGTATAAGCAATGTTGGCATCGAATGTGTACAAACACATCGCTTTACCGGGCTGGAATTCAAATCCGATGTTTTCGAAAAAAAATGGAGGCACAGATCCGATCAAAGCCACACACCATACAACGGCTATGTACATCAAAGTTCGTTGTTTTTTGAATAACACGATGTACTTTTCCGGTTTCACGACACAGAAATAACGACTCACTGCGATTATACCTATGGTGTGGAGAGATGCTAGTCCAAACGTGAACACTCCGAAACCATGGAAACGACAAAAAGCTTCACCAAAAATCCAATGTCCTTGGATTAGAGTTGCCACTGAAAAAGGCATACAGCAGGTGGACATCAGAATATCGCTAATAGCCAGCGCTACGACAAACGTGTTGGATAGCGTCCGAAGCCTCTGGTTTCTATACACAGCGTAACAAACTGAGAGATTTCCAACGAATGCTGCGACATTGATGATAGCAAAGAAGCCCGTTTCAATCCAAACAAGTTCACTTTTTCTGGAGGCAAGTTCCAGAGAAAGCGATTCCACTGAGTCCATGATTCTGATTCTAAGATGGTAGTAACTGCAGAATAAAACGGCCTTGGTAACCAAATCGAACCCTTTTTCATACGTTAAATAAACTTGTCACAAATTAAGACTCTGTGTTATCCTTTGAAATGACTCTTTTGCTCAAACGATTACAAATTATCTCTACATGTACATGCAGTCACCGACAGGTCAGTTATAAATGATGATTTAAAAGCGCATATTTCCCGATTGCCAGAAAACGGAACTACTTTAGTGCAGTGCACTTATAGTAATACCATTAATTGACGTTGTAATGAGGCGAAAATTAATTATAACTACATCTAGCTTAATGATGACAGTTTCACCAAGTGTTTGCACTTAGCCGCATATAACCGGTACCTCCTTGCCTTTTGATGCCATGATGAAAATGCAGTTAAAACTAGCGCATGATTGAAACACCTTTCTGTATTGCATTCCCTAAGTCTTTCCATTTTGGAGATGAAATGCATCATAGAAGTCATCATAATTGAATTTCGGAGTCTTAATATCGAGGCAAATTAATTTTAATCACAATCAAACTTGGTTTCATACTGCCATCTGACAGTTAACATTAAAGTTTCCATGTCCTTTTTTATCAAGTATCTTAGCACGTGAATGATTTGCTTTAGATATCGTGACCTGATAATCACCTATGCAAGGGTGTACTTATTATAAACAGGAGCACCCAATGGATCGTTTCGACAAATAGGCCCTTTGCACGATCCGGTCAGGTGGTACAAAATCACACATGCTGGGACGCAAGTTGCACAGTGGGACTTTCAAAACAAAGCAACTCGTACCAGTCCACCTTGACCTGCCTTTGTTTTGGCCGTGCAACTTGCGTCACAGCATGCGTGATTTTATACCATGTGACCGGATCGTGCAAAGGGCCTGTTATCTGTTCAGAAGGCCTTTACTCCCCTCTGATTTCCTTAAGTGAATTGTCACCTCGAACTTTTGTGATATGAGAAACTTAATGCCTGTTGTTTTCGGATTGATACATGTTAAAATGTCGTTTTGGGTGACTAGAAAAGGCCAGCTATGATTTTCGGAAAGGCAATGAGAACTAAGGTTTTCGGAAATGGAGTGAAAAGCCCTAAGAACATGCATGGAGAAGACTCAAGTTCTGAGAAAATCCCTAAGAATCTGGAGAAGACTCAAGTCCCCTGATTGTAAATCGAATCAGGTGATCATTGTTGCTGGCATCATTTTAAGTGTTTAAATCTAAAATTTTGACAGTCTCCTTATTGAGACATGTATGACAACTAGAACTGAAAGGGCATTCGAAATATAGCTATAGGGCAAAGTTTGAAAGGAAGACCACTAACTTGCTTCAAATAACGCATCTAAAACTGGTAACATATAAAGAATTTTGTTTAAAATGCCTACGAGGTAAAAAAATAATTGCTGCTTATTTGAAAGGCTTTTCAAAGTAAATAAGAATAGCGTTTTCCTTTTTGGAATATCTTTTTTCGTTTTAGAGATATTCACGTTTTTGTATTATGCAAATGAGGAAAGTGATGATGTCATAGGTGGTTACACTTAAACAATAAAATACTGAATCAAGAATATCTCCAGAAATATTGGAGCAGTGTTCTTCAAACTTGGCACCAGAAATGTACATCACAAAAGAAACAGAATGACACCTACTATGTCGTTGCCCTGGCGATATTCTTGGCTCGAGTCTCTTTCTGTGAAAAACCAAATATCCCCATTTGCAACCTTTTAAAGTGAGACAAAGGGTCTTCCTCGGAACACACATAGTTCCATATTGTCTTAACTCTCCCCATTAGATTGGTGGGAGTGGACGATCCTTGTTTAAGATAAAATCAGGGAATTTTAGTCTTAATTAAAACAAGACCAGCGGCGTAACTGTTGTCATGGCAATGGCACGACGGGTGTCATTTTGTTTCTTTTGTGATGTACATTTCTGGTGCCAAGTTTAAAGAACACTGCTTTAATATTTCTAGAGTTAATCTCAATTGAGTGTTGTGCTGTTTTAGTGAAACCAACTATGACGTCATCACATTCCTTATAAAAACGTAAATATCTCTTAAACGAATTCCAAAAAGGAAAACGCCACTCTTCTTTACTTTGAAAAGCCTTTCAAATAAGCAGCAATTATTTTTTACTTCATAGGCACTTTAACTGGGTGACGTATCTTGACGCTTAGCCGAAAATTATTGACTTTTCTCGAGACAATTTTTGGAACAGATCAGCACCAGCAATGAAAACAAATTCCATATGGATAACACTGGACTTTATTCCAAAGATATACCAGAATGGGTTTGTTTGCATAGCTACGCACTCTGTTGCAGATTCTGTGCCTTGATTTTCGGGATTAATTGTAGGTTCTTAACTAATGGGGATAATGAGGAAGCACATAGCAAATATTTCACGGCAGGAAGCATCTATTCTACTTTCCTTATTCTAAGCTCGTGGTTTGTGCTTTCTGGCGAGTTCGTCGGCTCTCATCGACAGAAATAACATCGGAAACTCCTGTACTTCGACTCCCTCTAAAGCAAAACATATCTCTCAAAACAGCCTTGTACTCTTGTCTGAATTGCTTATGTGTTGCACCATATATGAAGGGGTTAATGGTGCTACTCAGGTAAACTAAGAACCCGTATGTAAGGTAAGCCTGCCGCGCCAAAGTGGGTTTCCCGCGAGCAGCATCAATGTAGTCGATGATGCAAACTGGAAGCCAGCAGCATGCGAAGCCCACCATCACTGCTGCTAAAGTTTTGGTCACTTTTGCTTCTTCCACGTTAGTTCTGAGCTGCTGAGGGTTGTTTTCGTGAGAGAAAACTCGATTGGATCGCGACACTGTGTAGAACACCTTAGAGTAGCAGAATGCGATGAGTGATAAGGGGGTAGCGATGTAAACGCACTCAATAAAAATTGTATAAGCAATGTTGGCATCGAATGTGTACAAACACATGGCTTTACCGGGCTGGAATTCAAATCCGATGTGTTCGAAGAAGAATGGAGGCACAGATCCGATCAAAGCCACACACCATACAACGGCTATGTACATCAAAGTTCGTTGTTTTTTGAATAACACGATGTACTTTTCCGGTCTCACGACACAGAAATAACGACTCACTGCGATTATACCCATGGTGTGGAGAGATGCTAGTCCAAACGTGAACACTCCAAAACCGTGAAAACGGCAAAAGGCCTCACCGAAAATCCACTGTCCTTGGATTAGAGTTGCCACTGAAAAAGGCATACAGCAGGTGGACATCAGAATATCGCTAATAGCCAGCGCTACAACAAACATGTTGGAGAGCGTCCGAAGCCTCTGGTTTCTATACACAGCGTAACAAACGGAGAGATTTCCAACGAAAGCTGCTACATTGATGATAGCAAACAAACCCGTTTCAATCCAAACAAGTTCACCTTTTCTTGTGGCAAGTTCGAGGGAAAGCGATTCCAGTGAGTCCATGATATTGATTCTAAGATGGTAGTGATTGGAGAACAAAACGGCCTCGGAAACCAAATGGAACCATTTCTTTTATGTGTGAAATAGTGAAATAAACTTGTTACAAATTAAGAGACCATGTTGTCCTATGGAATGAGTCTTTTCTCCAAATGATTACAACTTATTGATCTAATTTCTGCATGTATATGCATGTAGTCACCCGAGTGTTAAGAATTGATCCAATCATTGTATTTACATATATTTCATGACAAATTTTTACATACACCTGCCCTCTTACTGTTTGAATACAAACGCTAATTCAGGACACTAGAACAAATAAATTAAGAGCGGCTTTTCTCCAACTGTCGGAGAGCGGAACTGCATTTGTTGTTTGACCACTAATGCCAGCGTCGCTCTGACAGAATTGCAACATTGATGTAGCGGAGAGATGACAAGTTGACAATTTGTTTACAGTTCACTAATTATGACCACTGCGCGCTATTGAAATTAATTCTTCCAAGCAATCATTGTGAGGTATATCGTATATTGGCCATAAAACTGGACAGGAATCAAACAAACCGCTTTTTGAGATAATACGCTTGTCCTATTTGCTGTCTTACGAAGAAAATGAATATAAAAGTACAACTCCCCCTATAAAATCTTAACAATTTTCGGATGGTTCCAAGCATTAAGTATAACTCATTTTTGCAATCATTATACCAAAATATTGAGAATTTTAATCTTGTAAACAAACTTTATTGCCGCTGTGTTGGTACAAAACACTATGAGGTGTTGTTAGCAGTATTTCCAATCAAGTCTACGAGTGTGTGCAAGTCGTTTATCTCTTTTTACCCACGCCTAACCACTTGAGTTGGCGCTTGTTCAATCCCCCGCAGAAGTTATTTTCTTCGCTCTGTTGACGATATTAGGAGAAAATCGAACGTCTGTGAACTGAAACGATGAGAAGTCTAAGACTACTACAAGGCTGACATCCTTGTGTCTTGCAGTATAGTCTTTGACCTCTCATCGTTTTACTTTTCAAGTTTGACTGATTAGATCTCTTGTGAGATCCAACGTTCAATCAAGCAGGATTTTCGATTCGTTCACGGCTTTGCAGTTTATTTAGTTTGCTCTGTGAACTGACCAGGTGTGCGCAGGAGTGTTAAGTTATCGAGTCCATTAAAGTTTAAGGCTAGCATTACGCGTTAGGCTTGTCAAATTGCAGTTGCTACTCACAAAGCATCAAACTTTGTAATAAACTGTATCCGTAATAAGCACCATAGGCAAGTAACTAAATCTACATAACTGTGTATAGTATTGTGACAGCATAGCTATCATTATATGAATCTTTCTCCCACACTCCGCTTCGGCTTGATTCGTTGAAACAAACTTTCTTGTCGCCGCAATGTCTCGACAGTTTACTTATTCATTAAGTATCTTGTTGGGTTTATGATATTCATCATCTCTTAGGTGTAAATTCGTCTCGCTATTGATCACTGGTAACTCGTCCCCATGGGTCCGCCAAACTCGCCAGCAGCTCCTACCTTATTATCGGAAAAAAGCGCTCGCGTTAACTAACTATGAGAAATTAAAACGCGACTTAAATTAACGCAAATTAAAGGAAAAATTACTTCCCAATAAGTCAAAATATCGTGACTGAACTCCTTTAAAGTCCTTCATTTAAAATTTAAATAAGCACCTTTTCCGAATGAATTTTCCTTGAGTAATTTTCGCTCTGTACAAACTTCTAACTTCAAGGAAAACTGAAAATATAAATAGTTAAAAGGGAAAATAATAAGCCATGAAGGAACAAGGATGGTCAATGAATTTTATCCATCCAATAAAATAATTATTCCAAATTGAACAGCATGTCCATTTTGTCCTATAAGACTGTTGCTGTGGGTTGTTTTCGTACGAGAAAACTCGATTTGATCGCGACACCGTGTAGAACACCTTAGAGTAGCAGAATGTGATAAGTGTTAAGAGGGTAGCGATGTAAACGCACTCAATAAAAATTGTATAAGCAATGTTGGCATCGAATGTGTACAAACACATGGCTTTACCGGGCTGGAATTCAAATCCGATGTGTTCGAAGAAGAATGGAGGCACAGATCCGATCAAAGCCACACACCATACAACGGCTACGTACATCAAAGTTCGTTGTTTTTTGAATAACACGATGTACTTTTCCGGTCTCACGACACAGAAATAACGACTCACTGCGATTATACCCATGGTGTGGTGCGATGCTAGTCCGCCAAACGTGAACATTCCCAAACCGTGAAAACGACAAAAAGCCTCACCAAAAATCCACTGTCCTTGGAGGTAGGGGTGTAATATGTCACCTTCTCTTCGGGGTGCAACATTTTTTATCTTCAAAAACGCTTGTTTTAACATGTAAATACATAACACTATCTAAAACAGAAACTAAACAGAAACAGAGACTTAAGACACACTAAAAAATGAGGTTTTGTATACACCGCTCGCCAGTCTTTGAACTGGCCGTTGACTAAAGGTTATTTTTGACAGTTGGGACGCGCTTTAATGGCCGTTGCCTTTGTGGAGAGTTGGTCGTTGTAGAGATGGTAAAATAAGAGGGAATGTATGAACTGTCCGCCTGGATAAAAAAAGTTGCAGCGGCCGTTGTAGAGAGGTAGCCGTCAGTGAAAATTTGACTGTATTAACGTACACAACAATCATGAGACACGCTACTCTGGAAGACCCATCTTTCGTTTGCTTTCTTTTTTTTTTTTTTTTTTCACAAACACGAATAATGTACAACGAAATTTAGAACCAGCTCTGAATCAAATTTTCCTTTGAAGAGTAATCAACCGTACAAAATGTCCGGTCATCCAACGATGCGACCAGAAAAAAACAATTTTTGACCGGACATTGCCCGTTGACCGGTCATTATTTCAAGCCCGCTATATTTTATATAATATTACCGGATTTCGGATTCCGGATTTCGGATTCCGGATTCCGGATTCTGGGTTCCAGATTCCATATTTTAGGGTTACCCCATGCACCCCCATCCCGNCCCCCACCTCCTCGGCCAGCCTGAATATCACTCAGGGTAGCCTGAATAATGCTCAGGTTAGCCTGTTTTAAAGTTAAAACTGAGTCTGTAGTCGGGACGTCTACAAACAAATGTCATACACCACATTTCAGAAGCCTAAGACAAAAAAAAAAGATTTTTATACCATGAAGCGTGGATATGACAATTCTACCAGCCATCTACCCGCAGGACAAACGGAAAAGGAACTATTTGATGTATGTCTGTAGCTTACCATCTCCAGCATACGCAGCAGCATTGAACACAAGCTAAGATGCCTGGGAGTAGGCCGTATTCTCAAATATTTCGTTTGAGGATCTTCCTCTAGCTCGCCGCCATTTTTTCGAAATTTCCAAACATTCCGAATGACGAGATATAACAAGTACTGCTATTGGTCCTTGGAAACTCGATCTGCCAATGAAAATAGTCCTTAGTTGAAGCATTCTTTTACTTACAGAGAGGTTCATGGGTAGCTGAAAAAACCAGCACAAACATGGCGTCTTCTCCTTCAAGTCCTGGTTCGCCAACTGGCACTCTAACACGGGAGAGCTCTAAGAAAGATACCGGAAAGCTTGGCTGGGTTGGAACGCTTACTCGACGGAAGAAAGGACAAGAAGGTAAATTGTTCATATCAAACATCGATGCGTTTTGTTTTGATATCTTGTGCGAATAGTTGTCACCGACCGATCTATCGATCGAAGACATCTGAGTTGTGTACAACTTTTCTGTCGTTTTTTCTCGTGTATTGCTCGACTTTATTAGCCTCTAAGGATCGTTCAGTCTACATTCTTCCCGTTTGTAATGCTATGGGATAATCTTTCAAATTTCATTAATTTTTAGTGAAGGTTCGAAAACATTAATGGCTGTCTAGAAATTCCACAGCGAATTCCAACACTTTATCACACCCTTTCCTGTTTTATCACGACAACGCAACCCTTTAAATATGTCACTTTTCGGGATTAAATTTGTTTCATGCGAATTGTCGTGTAAACTTAATTCGAACGACTGATAACTTATTATGCTAAAATAAAAATAGAAATTGTTGCTCGAAAGTCAGGGAATCTCCCTATTCCGACTCAGCCATCATATGTAAACTTACGCCTAGCAGAGTGTTTTGACCTGTTTTTCATCGAAAGGTTTACTTCATAGGTTTTATTCTTCTTAGATTCACATTCAAATGCACGAGGACACTGCATTTGGATTCACTAACACTAGATGCCCTGTTTTAAAAATATAAATATTTGTTTAGGGGCAGGCTAGTTTAAATGGAGCCATGATACAACATAATTTTAAGAAAAAGAAGATAGCATAACAGTACTGAATAGGATATGAAATTGAAATTGACAAACATGTAAATGGGTTATTCTTAGGCCCAGTTCAGACATTGTGCTTCTGCCGTGCCAAACTAAATTCAGGAATTAAAAGCATGGCAGAAGCACAGCATCTGAATCAAGCAATTAAGTTCAACAAGCTCTGACACACTACATGACTCTGGCATGGCAGCAATTCAAACATCATGCTTCTGTCGCTCCAAACAAAATTCATAAATTATTGCTGCGGAGCGAGCATAGCGAGTGAGCAGCAACATAATCAGGATTTAAGAAGAATATATAGAAGGGGGTACGAATTCTCGAATTCATCACTTTTTACCACAATGCATTGCAGTTAACCAGACTGCACTGCGCCACTTTTACTGGAGTGCATTACGCCACGAACAACACGAGGATCTCATACTCGTTGAGCCGTTGTCCTTTTTCGCGTGGATTCCACTGAGAAAGTTTGCTCTGATTTACCTGTAAAGCGATGTGAAGGAGATCGTGCTTGACTTTCACAACTCTTGCTATGC